GGCCCTGCTGGTCTCCCCTATCTCCAGTGTGTACGTCCCTAACATTGAGGAGGTCCTGCTGTGTCTGGGACTCCACTCCGTAGACATGGGGCTGGCTCTGGTGGACAACATACTCAGGAGTCCCAGCAACAGGGCCAATTCAGGTAAATTAATACTTAAAAGTCCCAGCAACAGGGCTAATTCAGGTAAATTAATACTTAAAAGTCCCAGCAACAGGGCCAATTCAGGTAAATTAATACTTAAAAGTCCCAGCAACAGGGCTAATTCAGGTAAATTAATACTTAAAAGTCCCAGCAACAGGGCTTATTCAGGTAAATCAATACTTAAAAGTCCCAGCAACAGGGCTTATTCAGGTACAAACATATTTAAAAGTCCTAGCAACAAGGCCAATTCAGGTACAGGCCCCAAGGCCATAAACTGTGAAGGCTTAAGTCAACACTTTGATTTTTAATACTTAGAGTTTTATGTAATGCATTTGCTTAAAATTTATTTTTAAATTTAAATTCAAACATACAGCTGTATATGTGATACAAATTTTGTTTCAGACTTTCAGTATAAAATTTATTTAAAAGGTATGTTTGTTTGAAATTTTACTGAAGTCTGACTTCGAGCAGATTCTCCACTCTCAATAGTGAAGTAAACATTATCCATATTAGAAGAAGGACATTTTTTGCTTAGGTTATGTAAGTGATATAGTATGCATTGATAATTTATGATTTGATTGTGTTAAAAGGTTTTGGTATGCCATATCTTGGAAAAGTTTGTGGCCAGGCTAATGAATCCACTGTTGAATTGCTGTACCAGCTAGGAATGGTCCAAGACCATGGAACGAGATTAAGGTGAGTGTTTTCTAAATTCACCCACACGGATTTAAAAAAATAAGGAAGAAAGTGTGTATCTTTATTACCATTTATGGGTTATTTTAGGAAGCAGAAATATCATCCAGAAAGTGTCAAATTATATTTATACGCCCGTCTTAAGACGGGACGTATTATGTTATAGGCTTCGTGTCCGTCCGTCTGTCTGTTAGCTTTTTCGTTTCCGGCTCATAACTTTAATACTACTGGGCCTAGGATTATCAAACTTTGTCATCTGATGCATCTTGGGTAGAAGGTGTGTCGCGCACAAAAAGTAGGTCGCTCTGACCTTTATTTAAGAAGTTATAGCCAAATATGGAAAAATCCTTTCCGGCCCATAACTAGAAAACCATAAGACATACAATCATCAAACTTGGCCAGTTTATGCATCTTAGGTAGAAGGTGTGTCGCGACCTATTTCAAGGTCACTGTGACCTTTAATTTAAGTGAATTTTTAAAAAAATGTGTCTTTTTACTATTCATTTACACATCCCAAATAATGTAAGAGTATTGCACTGTTCTTATTAAAAAAGTGTTAAATCAAGAAAATACTTATTTTTTTTAAGCATATACTTGACAGCAATCTATAACAAATATAATGTATGTCAGAGAAATCCTGCCTCTCCCATGAGTGTAATTATCAAGCACTGGTCAAGAAGAATTTTGATAACAGAAAATTGCATGTCAAATTAGAGAGAAATTAATGGGTTTTGAGTGCGAGGAGCTAGCATTGGTGTTATCTATATCCCTTGAGTATTGGGCAAATGGGTAAGCCTGTTTGATTAAAAATAGCTCTTGTTGACTAGCTTAAGTTTTAAAATGAATTTGATGAAAAGTAATTAAAACTAATTTGATATTGCATAATAGACTAATCTGATATTATGTAATATTATTAATTTAAAAACTAATTTTTTGGGGTGGGGTGGAATCAGCATGTCCATATGAATTACATATTAAAACCTGTCGGACATTAAATCTCAACCAAAAAAAATCTTTGAGTATTTTATTAAATTTATAGTAGATAGTGCAGAAACATTCATCTCTTGGTAGTAATGAGTAGACAAGCATCCAGTTAAAGATTAATTAATGAGTTCAATGTAGGAAGGCTAGCTGTCTCAGTCGCTCTGATTAAGCAGTGACCTTATCTGTACCCTTTGGGGATTAGACAGAAGAACTGCTGGTCAGTTTATAACATATGTCATTTGATGGCCAGCCTTTTCTTTTCAAAATTAATTTGGTATAGATTAAGTTGTTAAGACTAATTTGATGATGGGCATTTGACAAGGTCTAACACAACCAGCACAGAAATCTATCAGTGATGTAATATTTATTATAATTGATGCCTACATCACAGGGGATGGATAAATATTTTAAGGAATGGAAAAATCATCGAAATCTTAGAATCAAGGTTGATGTGATTTTCTTGCACCTAAACTGTTCAAGAAAATTGTAATTTTTTGACGGGCGTATCATGCTGTGGCGCGGCACTTTATTAGTGTAGATAATAATTAATGATTTTAGAAATAACCTTTACATTATGTATTTCTGATTTAATTATTAGTGACAATTTGAACAATATAAAACCATTACTTAATAATGCCAAAATTGAATGATCACTTGATAGTCCCATTATACAGGATTCAAACTATTACATACAAATAATGATATGGTTTGTTTTTACAGAGTCCAGGCTTTGTTGAGCTGGCTGAAGGACAGTGCCAGACTTGCTCTACAGAGGTCCTCTCTCTCCACTTCTGAAGGATACAGAAGAGTTCAGCAGGAGTTATCCTCCCTTCCCAGCCCCGCCCCCTCCCACATACAAGTGGTATCAGCCATCTTGTGGCAAAGCAATGATCTACCTGTGGAGTATGATCTGGGCGGTTTGGTTACCAGGGAGCTAGTCAGGTACAGGAATATTTGGGAAATTCTCAAGTTTTCCAGTGTGAAATATGAGGAGTAAAAATATAAAATTAGAATGAGATTATGCTATATCCTATATATTTTGGCATACACTCATGAAAAATACTCAATATTCACTTGAAACCTAAAATAAAATGAACATGAGCTACTGATATATCAATTTTATCTAATACAATGTTGTGCATTCCAGAATATATAAAGATGCTTATTTAAGTCCCTTTCAGCAAATTCAGTTGTTTGAATAGTGTAAAAAGTGGAATGTTGTTTATGCAACCCAGTCAAATTCTATGGCATTAATACTGTCGAATTAGACATATTTTACTATATTGTGTAAATTTTGAAGCTCCCTTTAGCCTCTGATTTTCTCTCCATTTAAAGCATAAAACAAAAAACAGTAAAATCATGAGAAATTTAATTTGGGATATTGATAGCTGCTAATACAGGTGTTTTATTTTCGCTTAGCTCTCACACGGGAGATTTATGTTGAATTAGTTTAATTCGAATTAGTTTACTGTGCATTAAATTACTTCGCATTAGCTCCATGTGAACGCTAAGCGAAGCTAATTCGAATTAAATTCTGACCGGATGCGGTAATGGCAAAATTTAGTCAAATGCCACTTGTCGATGGTCAGCTGTAGGTACTTGTGTGGTCTTTGAGCCAAAAACTAAGGGAAAATTTCGTTAATCATTAAATGTGTGTACAGCAGACTGCTAAACATTATGTCATGGACTTGCTTCTGCATAAGGTGATGTGATTTGTAAATGACGTCGTAGCGTGCACGCTGGGCTGCAGAGAAAATTTTAATTCGCATTAATTAAATTTGGTATATGTCAAGAAAAATATTATCAAAAAAAAAGATCAAAGCATAATTGACTTAAAGTAATTACAAATTTCCTTCACATCTAAGCAGTATAACTTTTTTGGCAGGCAATTTAAATCAAACACTCCCACAGCCTATAAATAAAGCATTCTCACTTACTCTGTATAACTATTACAAGAGAAGGCATTTTTTTTCATTTTAACATGTAAAATAAAACAATGAACCATATAATATATAAATGTTGATAGTGTATACTTAATCATGTTGCTTTAACTACTCAATTTCTAAAACAATTTATGATTCTTTTCAATTTTGAACTACTGCTTTGCTTTATGATACACCTCACATCAGGGGCCAAAAAGGGTCTTAGCCAATTTTGTCCTTTCCATTCCAGCTATGTAGGATCTGATTATACTTGCATGTTCAGGTTTATCTCAAACAAATGTCGGTCAAAAGCTCTACAGAGCTTATGTTTCTGTTATAAAAATCCGACTCAAAATAAAATTTTCTGATTCTGATTCTGAAATGCTATATTAATTATGTAATTTTTTTATCAACATAATAAGAAAAAGCTGGATAGTAATTAATATTTTCATTTTCATATTGGTAATATGGAGGTATGGAGATTTTTATTTATATGAAAAGATATAAATCAAAATAATCTTTTTTCAAAACATTTTGTTTATATAAGTACAATCATGTATTCCTTGTTAAAATTGACAGCTTCTATATATCTATTGTACATATATCAGTCTATATATCTATTGTACATATATCAGAGTTCAAAAAAATACATTGTTTTTTTTTTTTTGCTTTAAATCTATAAATTCAAATTATTACATACATGTATATAGATTCCTAAAATACAGATAAAAATATATATCTAGTTTATCTTATATATAATACATAATGTTCATTACCTGGACCATCAATACCAAGCTCTGTCCATTTCTGTGACCATTCTTTCTGATCTTTTTCTGGCCTCTGTAAATATGCAAAAAATAACCACAGGTTCTGTGAATGTCATTTTCAGGACACAAGCAATCTCTGCATGAAACTCAAATACTTTTCCATTGGAATGTGCAGACTGCATGAACACAGTTTTTAATATTTACATTTCAATGTCTTTGTCCTAGATAAAATTACAAATAGTTTTTTAACTTTTTAACTTTAATTCTACAAAAATCTACTGGTCCATCGATTGAGGTGGTTAAAAGAAATCATGTGGGGGCAGGACAAATTCTACCTTCTTTAGTAGGTAGAATTTTATCTGTGTATATGTAGGAGAGGACTAGTTTCAGTGCCGTGGGGTTTGCCTCAGGCAGGATGACCTGTATAGGGTCGGTGCTCGTCGCCTCGTCCAGGTAACGCTGTTCTTTAGCAGTACGTATCTTCTCCGCTAACCACGATGACCTGGCAGCAACTAACGCAATGTGTGCAGCTATACACTCCCGTGTCCCATCCTGAATGATCAACAAGAGGCCCACGGGCCTTACAGGTCACCTGAGTATCATGTAACAACTTTCAAATAATTAAAATTGGTTCGTGTTTTACCCCAGAGGCCATGAAATTCACAATTTTGAAAGAGGCACCATTACTTATCATAATTATAAACTAAGCATGCTTACTCTATTTACTTAATACCCAGAGGTAGATCAGAGTAACAAAGAGAAAATGCACTTCCACTTTATAGCAAGTTGTGCACCTCTCCCCAAAGGAACCACTGACCCTGAGGCCACATATTTCAAAATTTTGCAAATTTTATCATAAAATGGTTGATTAATACTAAAGAGCAGATTTCAAAGCATTAATTTATTTTCAGACTATGTTACCCCCCCCACCAACCCCAACCCAAGGGGCATAAAAAATAACCTTTTTGCTAGATGCACCTTTCTTCATCACAAATATATATACTTGAATCATTGGCATAAAACCCAAGAGCAAAGGAATGGATTTTCAAAGAATTAATGCATTTTCACTATATAATCAATAGAGCCCAGCCCTAATACCAGAAACCCTGACCCTGGGGCCATAAAATTCACAATTTTGGAAGAGGCACTCTTTCTCATCATAACTATGTACTTACTTATGCCCTGTTCACACGGAGAGTTTAATTCGCAGTAAATTAATGTGAAGTATACTAATGCGAATCAAACTAATGCGAATTAAATTGCATTCACACGACAGCTAATGCAAAGTAAACTAATGCGAATTAAAATTTTACTTCTGCAGCCCGGCGTCAGCACGGCTATTATGACGTCATTTACAAATCACATCACCTTATGCAGAAGCAGATCCATGACATAATGTCACAGTGTCTGTACACACATTTAATGATTAACAAAATTTCCCTTAGTTTTTCACTCAAAAATAGCACAAGTACCTACAGCTGACCATCGACAAGTGGCATTTGACTAAATTTTGCCATTACGCATGCGTCAGAATTTAATTCGAATTAGCTTCGCTTAGCGTTCACATGGAGCTAATGCGAAGTAATTTAATGCACAGTAAACTAATTCGAATTAAACTAATTCGCATTAAAATCTCCGTGTGAACGCTAAGCGAAGCTAATTCGCAGTAACTCTATGTTTAATTCGAATTAAACTCTCTATGTGAACAGGGCATTAGTTTATTTAATACCCAGTAGCAGAGAAGAAGATTTTCGAAAAATTAATGCATTTCACTATATGATCAATAGAGCCCCGCCCTAACACCAGAACCCCTGACCCTGGGGCCATGACTTTCACAATTTTGGTAGAGGACTCAATGCTCATTACATTCATGCCAACAGTTTGACTGCTTGATGTCCAGGAGTAAAGAAGAAGATTTTTAAAGATTGCAATAATTTTGGTGGTTTTGGCCCCACCCCTCAGACCCCAGGGGGGCGGGGACCGTAAAATTCACAATTTTTGTTCCCATTTAGCCATAGATGCTGTATACCAAATTTAATTGAAATTGGTTCAGTGGTTTCAGAGAAGAAGCTGAAAATGTTCAAATGTTAACACACGATGCACGACGGATGACGACGGACGAAAACGGATAGCAATAGGTCACCTGAGTTACTCAGGTGACCTAAAAATACTTCTCTTTTTAAGTTTTTATATCAATGTTTTACCAGAATACAATCAATACAACTGTTAAGGTGTGTTTTTAAATGCTATAATCAGGACACTTTATTGGATGTACATGTACATGCAGGTTTAAACATGTCAAATAAAGTGCCGCGCCACAGCATGATACGCCCGTCAAAAAAATACAATTTTCTTGAACAGTTTAGCATGCAAGAAAATCATGTCAACCTTGATTCTAAGATTTCCATGATTTTTCCATTCCTTCAAATATTTATCCATTCCCTGTGATGTAGGCATTAATTATAATAAATATTACATCATTCCATGCTGGTTGTATCAAATGCCCATAATATTAAACAATATCAAATTAGTCTTAACACCTTAATCTATACCAAATTAATTTTGAAAAGAAAAGGCTGGCCATCAAATGACATATGCTATAAACTGACCAGCACTTCTGTCTAATCCCCAAAGGATACAGATAAGACTGCTTGATCAGATAGTCTTTCTAATGGAACTCATTAATTAATCTTTAATTACTACCAAGAGATGAATGGGTCTGCACTATCTACCATATATTTTTTTCTTAAACATATAAAATATTCAAAGATTTTTTTTTGGTTGAGATTTAATGTCCGACAGGTTTTAATATTTAATTCATATGGACATGCTGATTCCACCCCATCCTATATTTAAAAATTAGTTTTTAAATTAATGATATTATATAATATCAGATTAGTCTATTATGCAATATCAAATTAGTTTTAATTCTTTTCATCAAATTCATTTTAAAACTGAGGCTAGCCAACAAGAGCTATTTTTAATCCAACAGGCTTACCCATCTGCCCAATACCCAAGGGATATAGATAACACAGATGCTCTATCAGTTTAGATCCTCACACTCAAAACTCATTAATTTCTCTCTAATTTGACATGCAAATTTCTGTTATCAAAATTCTTCTTGGCCAGTGCTTGATAATTACACTCAAGGGAGAGGTAGGATTTCTCTAACATACATTATATTTGTTATAGATTGCTGTCAAGTATATGCTTAAAAAATAAGTATTTTCTTGATTTAACACTTTTTTAATAAGGACAGTGCAATACTCTTACATTATTTGGGATGCTTAAATGAATAGTAAAATGAAACATTTTTTTTTTAAATTTCACTTAAATTAAAGGTCACAGTAACCTTGAAATAGGTCGCGACACACCTTCTACCTAAGATGCATAAACTGGCCAAGTTTGATGATTATAAGTCTTATAGTTTTCTAGTTATGGGCCAGAAAGGATTTTGCCATATTTGGCTATCACTTTTTAATAAAAGGTCAGAGCGACCTACTTTTTGTGCGTGACACACCTTCTACCCAAGATGCATCAGATGACAAAGTTTGATAATCCTAGGCCTAATAGTATTAAAGTTATGAGCCGGAAACGAAAAAGCTAACAGACAGATGGACAGACGGACGGACATGAATCCTATAACATAATACGTCCCGTCTTAAGACGGGCGTATAAAAACATTATTTTGACTTAATTTTAGAAATATGTGTCTATTACTAGTAATTAAATGTCTATGCTTTGAGTTTATTACATTACCTTGCCGACAATAAAGTGTAGATCACAGAACTGTTGACTTTCTAAAAGCTTCCCAAAATCCTCATGAAGAGTACATTTAGGGTATCTAGAAAACTGGAATTTAACAAGAGCATTAATTAATATTAATTTGCTTTTAATGAGAGAATATTAACATAAAAATGCAATTGGAATATTTGAAAAAAATGCTGATATTTAAAAGATATGTCACTCAAGTTTATAGCATTATACATGTATAAAGAATCACCTGAAATCTATACATCTCTCCACTCCTGACTATATTATCCACTGTTCCACCAAAAACATACATAGCATCATCCACAACAGCAGCAGCATGGAAGAGTCTTCCAGCAGGGACCTAATGCAAGTAATCATCAGAGTTACTGGTAGTTAAACACTGATTAAAATTGTAAAAGCCTACCAGCAGGTACATGTATCTAAAGAAAGTCATCAACAGAAATATTGGTAATTAACCATTGGTAACCACTGGTCAGAGGTCAGAGGTCAGACCAATCTCAGAGGTAAGTCCTCTACCATAAAACATTCATATTTTGTGAAGATTATTTTTGTACCAACAACAAACAGACAATTCGTGTGACCAAATGTAACCATTAACCATGTGTATTGTTTAGTATATGAAAAAATGAAAATGTTAACTTTAAAAGTACCCAATTCAAAAGAGATACATTTACAATGTACATGTATTTACAGACTGATGGATAGATTGCTAGACACATAGAAAGACTGGGATAACAGCAAAGCTTTCCTTTGAAAACATACAGTACAACTAGTTATTACCATGGTACATGTTTATATAGTCTGAGGTGATTCAGTTCTCTGTTATACCTGACTGTTAGGAGCAGGTTCTGTGATGGACCAGGTCTGTGAATCCAGATCAAAGCTAGAAAATAAAATAGTAGAATAAAGTGATTGTCTCAATAATCTATAGGTTACAAGTACAGTAAATGTGTAAGTAAAGTATGTGGTTTAGAACTATAAATGAACAAAAGAACCATATATGTTATACCATATCTATTTCTTCACTCTACCTCTCTGTTAGTTTTATAGAGGTTAATTTTTTACACTGATATTTCAGTTGTAAAATATACTTGGATAATGATGTTTGGATTCAGATTTACAAGTCATCTGGATTTGATGCTTACTGTAGAAATTGAAAAATATAAATATACAAGGATAATAAAATGCCCATACTTCTGAAAATTGCAATTTTGATGGATTTTATAAGCATGGTTCTTTCAGCAGTTACAAGCATAATAAATTTTACACTACATTATAGTGTGAATTTGTTTGAAAGCTTTAGAATAAAAGTTATATTCCCTTACAAACATGGATGTCATTCTAATCAACTAAAATTTTTTTTATAATTATGGCATTTATTAGTGTAATTTTTGGTTTAAAGCCATTCACATAAGTAAATATGGTTTTAAAAGTAAATTTATTTTATCATCTAACCTGTGCAGTTCATTGGGTAATGTTTGTCCAGTAGCTCCACCAAACACATACAGGTGTCTGTCAAAGGCCACCATAGTGTGTCCATACCTCTTCTCGGGAGGGGGAGGGGCACCCCGCAGGATGTGTTCTGTAGAAATCTTTGTCCATCTGATTACACAGTAATAAACTGCTAAACTTTCTTGTAAAATTTTATTACAGTAGCTCAGAATAATTTTTAGAAAGAAGGTTCTTTTCTTCCATTATTATGATATAAATGTTAAATAATTATGATAAAATTAAGGAAATCAATATGAATAATAAAACTTACTCATTTTCTTTGAAATTAAATTGGAAAAGATTATTTGTTATTTTGGCTCCACTTTGTCCAGAAAACACAAACATTGAATCTCTGGCCACTGCCAAGGCAAAGTTACAGCAGGTGGGGGGAATATTTCCTCTTTGTTCAACCTGAGTATGTTTTAAGCACAGTAAATCAATAGTATTATAGTATACATGTAATTTTACATGAATTATTATGACATAGATAATTATAATATATTGACAAAATGTAATAAAGACACAAAATTGAAATATTAAATTTCAATACTATTTACATGTATTTCTTTATGTACCACATCTTATCTTCAACATTTAAAAAAACCAACATTTAAATGTGCCTTTATTTCAAACACAGAACAAAACTCCTACCTCTTGCCATTGTCTTTGTTCACCATTCAGAGGGACTGTCCACATGTCATTTAGTCTTGTGTTTCCATCATATCCCGCGAATATCCACAACTTCCAGTCATACACGGCTGCACCATGAGCTGCACGAGCAACTGGTTTTCTACAATACATGTTTAATATTTACAGATTTTTTCTCACAGACAAAATATGACCCCAATAAGTGTAAATAATAAATCACCAACCTCCCTTCATACTTCCACTCCACCCACTGTCCTTTGGCAAAGCGATACTCAAATAAGTCATTCTTATTGGTCAGGTTTGAATTGGAGTGGATATCCCCTGTGTATCCACCTAGCAGGAAAAAGCTTACATTACTTCCATTCTATTTACTAAAACTAATTCAACATTCATTAACAGGAGTAATAATAAAATTTCGACCAAATTGCCGCATGATGGGTATTTTTTTACATGCTGCTAATTTTTACGAGTTTTATAAATCCGTAAAATTTAAATACGTAAAATTTCACAGAAGAAAC